TATCTATTTCTCTGGTTCATTTACTACACTTGACTCCTAAAATATTTTCTAAAGAACAATGCTTAGGGCAGGTCCTATACTTGATTGTGTTGCCTCTGTCTATTTCTCTAGTTCATTTACTACAATTGAACACTTGCCTCTGTCTGATTCTATTTGTTGCCTCTATCTGATACATTTGCTGCACTTGATACACTTCATTCCAATAAAACTTTGGTGCACTTGATACACTTCATGATATACTTTTACAAAAAGCAAAAAATGTGCAGTCCCTATTGTATGCTACACTTGATCAGAATATGATATACTTTTACAAAAAACAAAAAATGTGTTGTCCCTATTATATGCTACACTTGATCAGAATATGATATACTTTTACAAAAAGCAAAAAATGGCATTCTAGGCCAACAAAAAGCAAAAAGAATGTGCAAAAGGTTCACTTGGAAGTACATATAGATATTGTACCTTCCCTTGACCATCTGTGCACACACAACAAAAAAGTACTTAATCATTAAGTACTTACATATGTTCCTCTAAGAACTTTTGTGCATTCTCATACACTTTTGTGCTTACTCCCAAATTCTGTTGTAGTATTCCTTGTCTGGCCAACTTACTTTTTCCCATATGAGGAATTTTGAATTGGTTTCCTCCATTATGACTGAGTATCTCACCCATCACCCCTTGTAGAGTTAAGAAGACATTGTTTAGTTTGTCATGTGATAGTTCTTCAAAGGCTGTTGTGACAAACTTAACCAAGTCTGTCAATGACCTAGGAGCTGTTTGGTCTTGTACTGAGTCAATGGATCTAAAAAATCCTAGATCAAGTACATTTAAATCAGGGCTGTTGGGGGGCTGGAATTTCAGTTGAATGTTCCAGTCCCCTTCTTGAGCAGCAGCAACAATTTCAGGGTCATTGCCATCCACATGAGGCTTAGCATTATCTTGTTGGATAATAATATCCCTTGATGACCCAGGCCATTTCTGCTTAATTGCAGGTATCAAATTAGTCAGTAACATTCTCTTCATAACATCTCTATTCACAGTTGGTTCAGCCTTTGTTTCCAATGTCCCTGCAGGCCTGTTTTTACTAGACCTTTGCGCTGCCTGTTCAAAAGTGAATGGGAAAATGCCTATTTTCCCATCCCATAACACATCTCCACCCTCCCCATACCTTGGCCTGCCTACTGCAGCCAGGAACATGATCTTTGGTATGAAGCTTTTGCTTTGAGTGGTTCTGTAGGGGT